AACTTTATGATGGAATATAAAGGCCTTGCATTGAAGCAACAATTGAAATCCATTACAAGGACCACAACAGTGCCTTGTTTTAATGAAGAGATGAATAAGATGTTGAACATGCCTGGAGCTATCCATAATTGGCTAGCAGAAAAATATCCTAGGAATTGGACACATTTCAAGACCTTTTCCAAATGTGACATTCTTATGAATAACTTATGTGAGGCTTTCAACATAAGCATATTGAATGCAAGAGACAAGCCAATTTTGGCTATGTTAGAGAGAATTAGGTTGTACATTATGCTATTGATGGCTACAAGAAGGATTACATATGACAAGTGGCATAGACAAGTGGGGCAAAGGATTAGAGGTATTTTAGAAAAAAAGCGAGGAAAGAGTCAGTGGTACATTCCTAAGGCTGCTGGAATCAACATATTCCAGGTAATGCACTAAAGTAGGAGGACATTAGTTGTTGATTTGAATGCTCACTCTTGTTCATGTAGAGGTTGGGATTTGACTAGGTTACCCTGTGAACATGCTTGTGCTACCATTAGTAGGTATCATGGAGCCCCTGAGGACTATGTGGCCAATGGGTACAAGAAAGAAACTTTGATGAAAACTTATGAACGTATGGTTATGTTAACGCCGAGCCAAGATCAATAGGTGAAGACTGGGCTACCTCTATTGAAGCCTCCGAAATATCACAAGTAGCCTGGTAGACCTAAAAAGGCAAGGAATAAAGCTGCTGATGAACCTAAGAAACCAAAAAATCCATACAAGCTGCCAAAGTATGGAATTCCAGTAAAATGTGGCAATTATGGGGGAGAATGACATAATCGAAGAGGTTGTAAGGTATGATGAAGGGTCTTTCTTACTATGTTGCAAAATTGATTTTTTTTTTTTTTTTTTGTAACAAATTGTAAGCTCCTCAATTGTATTTACTCAATTTTTACCATACTCAGGAATCTAAAAACCCTTTCTTAAAGCCTCCCAAGAAGAAATTAGCAAAAGCATAGCTTCCTGTAAGTTCTTATTTTGACCTATAGTTAAGTTTCTTATTTTTAAACTTTTCAAATTGACCTATAGTTAGAAATTCTTATTTTTCAAGTGAGAATGAGTGCCAATACAGATGAACCTAATGGCCAACATACAAGGTAGTTTAGGAAAAAGAAGTAAGGAGTTGATTCTCATGGCTTGGTTCCCTCCCAACAAACTAAAACTTAAACAAGTGCACTTAGTATACCAAATCCAGGAGGATATCAAACTAGGTAGAGAAAGAAGCAAGGAGATAGCTCCCAATGCTTAGTTCCCACACAACAAAGTGAAGCTTCAACAAGTACACCTACTGTACCAAATCTAAGGGATATTAAAGGCCAAAAAAACAAGTCACAAGCATCTTTACAAAGGAAGCACTTTATGAAGGATCCATTTTTTCACCCATGATGAAGAATGGGAGTTGAATTAGGACAGGATTGAGTTGCTTATTTTGTTATGAAATCGGGGGTTGCTTATTTTGTTATGAACTTGGGGGTTGCTTTTTTTGTTATGTCACTCTAAGAAGATTTGGGTTGCAAGTTTTTTGGTCATGTAAAGCTTCACAATTCGAAACTAGTTTTTTGGACATATTTTGGATAGATATGGGTGATTTTTGACATATTTCGGATATATCATAGAGTGAAGTCCTGCAGATGGTTGATGTTATTCAACTTTTGATATTGAAATGCAAATGAAAACTTTTATGTCCCCTCTTTTGTGTTATATTTGAATTGAGACTTTATACTTTCAACATAAACTTTTATCTTGCTACTTTTTTGTTGCCTCTTTTGTGTAATCCTGTAGATGGTATATGTAATCCTTAAGACTTTATACTTTATATAGAAAAAAATGCTCCAAACTTGTGAACTTCATACCCAGTTCATACCAAAACACAGTTAACATATTACAACACCTATTACATTGCAAAATACAACCATATTACATCCATTAACTTATTACAATACCTCTTACATCCATAAACACAACCATATTATATCCATTAACACATCCATATTCTCCTCTCAGTTTCGAATCATCTTCATGTCATGATAACAACACATGTAATCAACCATCATAGCACAAGAACAGCAACCAGTATTCTTGATTTCAGTTGAATCTTTGCATTCTCGTCTTCCAACCTATCAATTTTCCTCAGCAAACTCGGTATCACCATCTTGGAACGATCACACAGTTCATCATCAACCCACTCCCAAAATCCACATCATTTGTTAACTCTTCCCTGCATCAACCCACCACAAAAAATTTCAGTGTTTCAACCCATTAACAACAAACCCTAGATTTGAATTAATCCAAGAATCTTACCTTTAAGAGTGGACAGACTTGAATCGTCTTCTTGGGTTTGAATCGGTCCAAAAAGTTATAGTTCTTGCCACCTTTCCACAGTAACATCATGAAGCATGTCTTGCTTCTCCCACTTCCATCTCTTCTTCAACTTTTTCAATTGAACCAAAACACAGATTCACCAAAATGCAGAACCCCAATTGCTAGCAAGGAGAACCCCAATTTGGAGCAACGACGATGCCAATTTTAGGGATCTCTAGTTGTTTTGTTGTAGGGGGAACCTGGGGTTGTGATTTTGGAAACAATTAATTGGCGGGCTTGAATGGTCTGAAATTTTTGAAACCCTATCCCAGTATAACATACTCTCTCATGGATCCCACCAATAGCCACGTTGGGCAACCTTAGTAATAGAATGGAAGTTAAGCGAGTAATTTGAGCCATTTCAAAAGTCAGGGTGTAATTTGAGACATTTTGTAAACCAAAAGAGGTATTTGAACAAACAAGCCTAAAGTATATTACAATTTGGATGAGAATTGTTGGTACTGTAATATATGTTTATAATTGGTTTGAATGAGATAATGATATTTCTAGTTTATATATACATTTTTTGAAATTGGAAGGAATTGTTAGAGATTTCAAAATACATATATGAATAGATATATGACTGATTGCATATATTAGTGATGAGTTGGTGGGTGCATTGTGAAATAGAGTTATCCTTTGAAAAGTATTCCAACACCTGTGAACTTTGGGTATTGACAGTTATATTCAATAGTAGGCATTTGTCCACCGAAAGAGT